TGAAGGGAGTGTCGTTTTATTGTTGGTAGTAACATGCTTTTTTTTGCTGGTTAGTTATTGTTATATATTTGGTGTTGCAATATCAGAAATGGGGATGTTGATGAGAGAGATCATACTATAAAAATGGAAATTACTACTATTATTGATAGTAATGATGATAACATAATTTAGATATCAGTGATAATAATGATAGCTATAATATTTATCATTGCTACTATCATCATCGTCGTCACTGTTATCATTATTACCATTATTATTATTATTTACTATCCCCGTTATTTGAATGTATATATGCGACCAGCGTCAATGTGTCTATGAGTATGTATGTTCGCACTAGATACTAGAAACAAGACAATGTATGTTTTACCCACAAAAAGACTTACATTTGGATTGGAAACGGATGCTTCTGGATCATCGTCAAAAGCTCTGTTAATCTTAGCAGCTACGGCAGGGTCAGTTAGATTCTGAAATATGATCATGTGTAAAAAATACGGGAAAAAGTATCTAGTTTGATTAATTTACTTATCTTCGGAGAAAAGTTAGGAATATGCATTTTTTTCTTTTTGTAAGCGAAGTGACATGTGAATGAGAGAGAGAGAGAGAGAAAGAGCAGAGTAACTTTTGCATATAATCATTATATCCCTAATCGCACGAATACTAACTAAATGACCGACTCACGTAAGCTTTAGCATAAGCAAGATTGTGCTTCCTGGTCACGAGAGACATATTCCTATCGCAGGAGACTAAGGACTGCGTGGTCAAGTGGTAGAGCCGCACCCAGTCGCCGTTCATCACATACTCGGGTAAACCATCATAGAAACTATTCTCCAGATCGGGGTCCTCTTCGGGGAATAGTACCTTGCTGGTTGAGGAGACGGATGAGGAAAGGGCGTGAAAGTGGCAAGGAATGGAATGAGGGAAGGACATGTAAGTGGTGAAGGGCGAATGAGGAAAGGGCGTGAAAGGGGTTGACATTTCTGAGCACGGTTTATGTTTGAATGAATAGTAGGTTTAGAAGGACATTTTATAAACAAAGACTTCTGAGACGCTCAAAATTGACAAAACATTGCAATACAAGACATATAAATTCTGTATTAAATGAAAGGGGCTCTCGAACAATACTCACAAGTAATTATTAACATCTTTGGCACCGAAGCCCGTAAGTTGTTGCTTATTCTTCCCCACTTTCTCTTGTGGGTAAGTAGCATTGTGGCTGTGTAAGTAGATGCCGGCCAAATTGGCGTTCCGGAGGGTGATGACGTTGCCGTAAGCCAATTCTGAAATAAGAAAAAAGAGACGCGGGTGAATACAAGAATGTCCTTTTACCTGTATATCTAAACACGCACAAACAGCACACACATAGCACCCTACTCATCGAAATAAAGACATACTTGTGGCTACGCTCTTCTATTCATGTATCTATATAACTATTTGTATATAATACAACAGAAACAATAATTATCATTATCATTACGTTTGGGCTGCGTTAAGTTGTTCAGAAAGTTCGTCTTCAGCCTCATCTGGAAACCTGGACTGAAAGTTCCCTCGTCCGCCGCGTGAAGAGTTTTTCTGAAAACAATGAAGAGGTTCAAATCTTATCATATAGTAGTTAGTTATTCTGAATTCATGAAGTACTCAAAAAAGTATATTCTTGTTTATAAAGTATATTACAAAGCTATAATTAACTGTGACAACGATGTTATTTTCACTCACGCTTTAAAGAGCAGCTGATCATGGATGAAGAAAACGCTGACGTAGATTGCGGCAGGTAACAATATCAACGTCAAAACCCGAGCCATGAAATGTGTTGCTACGCTTAGCTGTAACATTGAAGAAAAAATAAAAAACATGTTTACATGAAACATTTTTTCATATATATATATATATCTTGAGTTATTTCCTTGTCAGATAAATAATAAAAAACAACAGTTCATACCAATGGCCTATCGAGCTCTCCTAGTTTCTGCCAGAGGTCAAGGGCAGCATATAGGCCTACAACTAGAACGACGAAAAGGCCTACAAACTTGACACTCATTACGCATCCCAGCATCGCGCCTGTGTAAAGGTAGGCGAACCACCACTGCTTCGAAAAGGACCTGGAAAAGCAAGGGCGGCGAAGGTTAGCATCGAGAAAATTGCACATTGAGATGGAAACCATACCTGTAGGTTAGTGTTTTATTTTTTTATTTTATTTTATTTATTTTTTTTTTTTATTTATTTATTTTTTTTTTAACAAGTCTCTCCCTCTCTCTCTTTCTCTCACTATCTATCTCTGTCTTTGTGTGTCTGTCTCTCTGTCTCTGTCTCTCTCTGTCTCTCTCTCTGTCTCTCTCTCTCTCTCTCTCTCTCTGCCTTCCTTCCTTCCTTCCTCCTTCCCTCGTTTCCTCTACCTTCTCATTCCACCCCCACCCCGTCCAGAAACCTTACCTATCAGCTGCTTCGTGCATGAAGGTGAGGCCATGAAAAGAAGCCATGATGAAGAACAGCAGAAGCGGGTCCA